ATTAGTAAACAATACCGATCTTTTGACAGAAAGTAGCCAAATTTTTACTTTTTGTTAAAATTAGTTTTGAAAGTATCAAAACAGTAAGAGAAAGTTGTAATCTTGTAAGTTTTTAACCAAAGAGAGTTTTTTCAAGAGTTTATTATATTCTTCTATTTTCTTTTTTTTTATATTTTTATTTTAGTGATTCTATTTTTATTTTATAAATCAGAAATAGATTACAAAATATACTTAGCTAGCTAAACCTACATACAAATCACTAAACTACTATATTCTTGTTCAAATAAAAATTCTTTTGATTTGTCTTATTATTATAGTAAAAATAAAATAAACCTTAAATTTACACTAAATTATAACTCAGGAGCAATTTGCCTAAATAAACAATTTTTCTCCTTTCAGGATTCTTAATTTTCTGAGAATGTAAGCTCAGATATCAACAGATAGCTTTCACTGACCTTGTTAGAATTACTGCTCTACAATAGAGTATTATCAACCTAATGACATTTTCTTATAGAGAAGTAAAAAAGAAAAAAAAGATAAAAGTAAAGCAAAAATAGGAAAAGTAAAAAAAGAAATATATAAAAAATGATCAAAATATAAAAAAATTAAAAAACTATCCTAAAATCTAAAAGAACTTGTCTACAGATATAAAACCTTGCTAATCAGGTGAAAAATTATCTATAAAGTCATAAAAATTTATATATAGAGCTATCTGACAAAAAAAACTATGAACTAAAATATACTTTAATCTGTACTAAGAGCTAAAAATTATATACATATGATTTTAGAATACTATATATCTCTAATATATCACTTTAACTTGCAATTCTTATTTAAATTCATCTTAAATCCTAGAATACTAATTTTAAAACCTTGACATGTGATTGTCAATTCTATTTGTAACAAGCCACTTTTTTCAAAATCTTTTTACAGTTTTTTATTTCAAGCTTTGCTTCTACACTATATGAGATTAAACAGGAGGTTTTTTCTATAGTCAACTGGCATTATTGGAAGCTACTTCAGGTCTATTGCATAAAACCTTTATTTCTATATAGTCAGAGCTAATTTAAATACTGAACTTTCATATATTTCAATTTAATCAAAACAGAATTTTCTTCTTATATATAATTATTATATTCCTTATTCATCATATTATAATTCAAGACTTTCTAAAAATAAAAATAGTAAACAATGCTAATCTTTTGGAAAAGTAGCCAAATTCTTTACTTTTTGTTAAAAATTATAAAGAAAGAAAGTAGTAGAGAAATATTATAGTTTTGCAAGTTTTCTAATCAAAGAATGTTATTTCATAACTACTACACTTCATCTTTAAGCTTTACTTTATTTGGTTTTGTATCTCTTAATATAATATTATAAACTTACTTAAGAATATTACTTTTTCTGCAAAACTTGCCACTACAATTAGTATTAAATTTTTTTTATATCTTAATTCTCAAATCTATTATAATATTTGGATATTCTATTATATAACTTGCTCTCAAATTTAATCTTCTTACAATACTTTATCTTCTCTATCTTATTCTTCTAATTTCTCTTCTGTTTAGCTTTCTTAACATTTACCTCTAGATTTTGCTATTGCTAAATTAGAATTATAATACCCTTTATAGATTAAATATCAAATAAATTTAATATATATAATTACTAATCCACAAATCTAAATGAGCTATAGCTACCTTAGTTGGTTTAGATCGCAGATAAACTAGTCTAAGTTTCTTTTTTTGTTATCTTAGAATATAAAGTTTGAATATAACTCTTTTCTTTATAAAAAAGTTTAATTAAATTTTAATAAAATTAGAAACATGGTCTTACTATTAATATCATATATATTGATTTTTGAAATTTGTATTAAAGTTACTTTTTTTTAAAAACTTTAAAATTAAATAATTTTTAATCTAGAAGTTTTTTAAAATAATTTTATTACTATTGTGTTCATTTCTTTAAAATGATTCAAAGTTATTCAAATTTTATTACAGAATTATAAGTTATTATTCTGTCAAATAGTAATACATCTTATAGGTGTTAGATATAATTTAACTAATTCTTCTAACCTATAAGGTGTATCACTATTTGATAGCACAATATTTTATAATCTTGTAATTAGATTTGAATGATTTTAAACTCATTAGAATTGTTTTAAAAAGACAAATACAATTGTAATAAAATTATTTTAAAAAAACTTCTAGATTAAAAATTATTTAATTTTAAAGTTTTCAAAAAAAGTAGTCTTAATACAAATTTTAAAAATTAATATATATATTAAAAAAAAATTATATATGGCAATAATTCTGATAAGATTAATAAATATCTATTATAATCTCTTGAAGTTTAAATTCTTAGTAAATTAAGAATTTCTAATAATATAAATATGAGCTACTTATATAGATTGCATCTGAGTTCTTTTTGATAAAATTTAGTAATTAGTATTTGTTTTAAATAATCAAATAATTCTTTATTAGTATAGATGCAAATAGATTATAAAATAAATTAGTCTCTATTATAATAATAAAACAAGAATTGCTAAAGCAAAAAATTATAAAAATAAAATAATTAAAAAAACTTACACAACTCTTTCTAACAATCACTTGTACTAGTTTTTTTGTAAATAATTACAAAAATTTACTAAAAAAAAAAAGTTTCTAGTAAATAAACAGTTTTTACAAAAATTAACTATCTGGTCTTAGAAACTTTTTTGTATATTCAATATACAAGCCAAAAAAGTTACTATATAAGATAACTGGTAAAAGAAGTAAGCTCTTATATAAAAATTTTAATAAAAAAAACTTTTGCTAACAAAGTTTGCTAAAAGACTTAAAAAAAGAATAGTGAATAAACAACCAATATACTTATTAAAAAAAACTAAATACTTGCTAACTAAAAACTTTCTTCAATATTTTATTTACTTTTTATATTTCACAAATTTTATCAAAAAGTGAGAAATTTAACTTATTTTTATCAAAGAATCAATACTAATAATCACTATTAAAAAATATATACATATATATTTATTTTAAAATAATAATATTATCAATCTTCTGCTTCTCATTAGACTATAGATATGATATCTTAACTAAATTAATTTTTGTAGTCTAAAATAGAAAGAAATATATTTGATTTGTGTTGCAAAAATTTTGTTAAAAGTATAATAGAAATTTTGAACTTGAATCTCTACTTAAGAATAGATAATTTTAACAAAGTTTTTATATTCTAGATATAAATATAAATAGCTAATATAGAGTTTAGACTAGCCTATTTAGTAGTACTATATAATTTTTACAATCTTGTATAAGTTTAATAATACTATCTTTGTTTTCTTTTTTTATTTTGTTTTTACTTTTATTATTTGTTATTTTGGTTTTATTTGTTGTTTAGATAGATTGAACTCTAGAAATCAAGGTATTTTTTCTTTTTGTTTGCTTTACTTTTTAAATTTATATATATATATTTCATCTTTGTCAAAGCCAAATCAATACTAATAAAATATATAGCACTTGCTAATAACCAAAAAATTTAAGTTTTTAGTAAGTTAAAAGCCTAGAAGAAAGTAAAGAACTATTGAGACAAGTTGTATTTGAACTCTAAAAGCTGAGTAAATCTTCTGTTTAGTTAGATAAATAATAACTATAGATAAAAATTTTTGTTTTAAATAAACAGAGACAGAACATGACCAAATTATAAAAAAATAAAAATAAAATAATTTTGAATTAGAAAAAAAAACGATATAAGTTTTGTATTGTATATCAAATTAATTTTTTTTTTTTTTTTGAATATTAATGGTGAGACCATGTCTCCAATATCAAATTAATTTTTTATATTGTAAATCTTATAATAAATCATAAGAAAATGCAAACTTTAAAGAGCTATACCACAAAATTTTATTAGTACAACTACTTTTATATCTTAAGTAAAAAATAATTCTAATTTTATTCTAAATTAATTTATGTAAAAAAATCTTTTGAAATAATTGTCAATTTCATCCCTTTTTTTAGCACCTAGCCCATATTATTTTAATCTATCTAAAATTATTTCTTGCCAAAAAATTATCTAATTAAATAAAAAAATCCTATTTATATTGTTACTTAATAAAAACTATAATAACAAAAACAGAAATAATGCAATTTCTTAAAGTCAATTTTGGTGTGTTAAATATATATATCACTTTGTTGCTCTAAAGTAAAACCTAATTGTTTTAAATATTTTTATAGTAAAATTACTATTTCTAATTATATAACTTTTTGATCAATTAGCAGTATTAATTATAATTTAAATAACATAAAAATTATTTAATAAAATCTGGAACAAATTTATTTCGAATTTGTATATAGATTAAAGAATACTAAAAAATCTGATATTTATGGTTTAGGCATAATTATATGGGAAATATTTGTGGATACAAGCCTCTTTATGACAGAGAACACGATGGAACCCTTATTTTAAATATTATATATGGCCTTCATCTCAAGTTTATCGATGGTACTCCAAAAGAATTTGTTGAGTTGATGGAGAAATGTTAGAAAAATGATCCTTTTGAACGTTCAACAGCATTTGTAATCAAGAACGAATAAGTTTTATTAATCAAAAATTAAGTATAAAAATTTTCATTTCCTAAAACTATTAGCTTTTCGCGCATAAGAGATTAATCCACCAGCTATATATACGAGCAATTGAATTCTTTTTATCAATAGAACTTGAAATGTTTCGAATTACATATTTGATATCAATAACGAAATAAATGAATTATAAGTGTATCAGTAAAAAAATTTGTTCTAATTAATGTAAGCCGTTAAAGTGAACTTGTTTTTACTTGTTGTATTAAACTAGTTCATTGCATATACTCGATACCCAGTAACACCAATCAATTAGTTTATTATAATTGATTGCACTGTAGCTACTTCTATAATCATCTAAAAAGAAGTAAACAAATAAAACACACAATAATACCAAATATTTTATACATATAATTCTATAATGTTTCTAAAAATCTATTTATCATTATAACCAAAAAAACAACTTCCCTTAGGTTTTCCAAATCTAACAACTTGATCATTCTTTTTACTCCATATTAATTCTCTTGTTCTTTGTTCTTTATCAACTTCTTCAACTCTCTCACAAACATTATTTAATATTTCATCAAAATCATCTTCCTCAACGATGTCTTCAAATATTTTTTGTAACATTTTTGAATCAGCTTTAATCTTTTGATTTTCATCGATCATAATAATATTATCATGATCCATCATTTCTATCCATTTTGGATTTCCAGTAATTTTTCTACCCTCTTCTACTGAGACAGAATTGTCGTCAGATTTTACAATTTTACGAATTAATTTCCAAGCACACGAAGCATATTTTTGATCATCAAATGCACTTTCTTCAAAATCAGGAATTAGACCTATTCGATTAGTTATCCAAATTCGTTCTTCATTTATTAATCGTTTAGCGGCCTCTAATAGAAACAAAAAACAAAAAATATAATAATGACTTAATAACAATGAATGAATAATATAATGAATTATATAATTTAATAATTTAATAATACAGTATATGAATCATATACATGCATATAGATTCTAACAAAAATTAGAATTTACCGTTAATATCATTTGCTCTAGCTAATTTATCAATATAAGAAAGACGACCACCAATTTGTTCAACAATGTTTCGCAATTCATCTTCAGGCACCGGCACCTTTTTATAGTGCTCTCGATTTTTTATTAATACGTTTACTGCCTCTTCAGTTTCTAATTCTCTTACTCTTATAACTTCCATTCGAGATGCATCTCTCTCTTTGTTATAAATTACATGTGAGGATTATATATATCAAATAAAACAAGAAAATAATGTAAAGCGAAATCTTTACTCATGCGTTCGTATATTGTATAATCATCCGTGTTAAATACCATTGTCACAACCTTAGAAGCAGCCCATGATTCAGCACGTTGCTGTAATAATTCTAATAGGTCTTCACCATCTTCATCATCTTTAAATGCATGAATGTTGCTGATAACAAGAACTAATGGACGTTCAGTTTTGTTGAAATACTTTGTGGCAGCGATTTCTACCATATTTAAAGCTTTTTCGACATCAAGTAATGCGGAACCTATGATTATCCACAAAATAAATAAAGCATAATAAATAAATAAATTGATAAGTAAATATATATATATCTATATCTTATAGTTATTATATTGTATCAAACTATATATAAAATTTCACGGGTTACCTCGTTCAGGAGCTTCTCTGGCAAAAAGTTGGCCAACATAATCTTCTCTATAAGTATATTGTAAAGCTTTTCCTAATCTGCATTTAAAAATTTCACTGTCCGAATGAGCTTCAGCAAATACAACATCCTTCTGATTGATTTCGCGCATTGCATGAAAAATTAATTGAGTTTTTCCTGTCCCTCGTTCGCCTACAAGTAAAAAATATTTTCCCCGAACTTTGCCTTCTATAGCTTCACGAATTGTTTGATATTCATCTCTTTCTTGGAAGAAGTCTTCTGAAGTTCTATTTCTTAGTGTCACTGTAGGTTTTTTGAACGCCATTTTTACTTTGTGAACTTCGTTCCATTCGTACCTGAATAAATCTGAATCAAATTTGTTTTTTTAATTGAAATTTAAAAAAGTTTTAACTACTTACCATGCCTGATAAAACACACCACCAAGACCAACAGCAGCTAAACCCATTACGGTTGTTAATACAGCATCCATAACTCGAGGCGATAGAATTGATCGTTTTTGACCACTACTAGTGGGTTTCTTTTTTTTCTGGTTTGGATCATTACCTTCATCTAATGCTGTTTCAGAAGATTTTTCCACAATTGGTTGAAATGGATCTATCATTCACATATAAAAAAATAGACAAAGTTTATCTGGTGTTTATTTGAATTTCATGTTATTTTTAATAAATTTAATTTGATTTACCTGGAAAAGGATCCCAAACACCTGCAGCATTAGTATCTTGATTCAAACTTCTTTTTAGAATTGTTTGAGAAAGTTTAGGAAAATCATTCTTAATTTTTGGATTACTATATATCAAGTAGAATGCGTTCATATGATTACTGTAATACGAGCGAACGATAGCATTCTTTTTTCGTATAAATGTTGTATAATAAAGGCGCAACTTTAAGGTTTTAATTGAGTTGATTCGATTAATTCGATGCATTGTAGAAATCGATTTCGAGAAAGTTAAGAATTTGAAGATCAATTC